ATATATATATATATATATATATATATATATATATATATATATATATATATATATATTCACTGGGCCAGCTGTCTGTTTTGGAAAATATGGCTCATACCCACAAAGGAAGATTGGCCAAGAAAGCAATATAAATACGTGTGTGTCTGTGTGTGTGTGTGCGTATATATATATATATATATATATATATATATATAATTTTCACTGGGCCGGCTGTCCATTTTTTCAAAAATATGGCTCATACCTACAGAGGGAAATTGGCCAAGAAAGTGTAGAGTACTTTTTCTGTCAGCATTACAACTATATTTAAGAATGAATCTATTATAAAATATAACTATAATGCAAGAAAAACCACAGAGAGAAAGGGAAAAAAATAGAAAAGTTAATTTGAGAGATTTTGATAATTAGGATTTTGAGAAGACCACACAGCTGAGTTTCCTTCCCACCCCGCCGTGGTGGTCTAGTGGCTAAGGTACTCAGATGCTGACCTGCAGGTCGGGGGATTTCATCCCGGCTACGGCAGCTCCATTTTCGATGAAAGCAAGAATGCTGTAGGCTCATGTGCTCAGATTTGGGTACACGTTAAAGAACACCAGGTGGTCGAAATATCCGAAGCCTTCCACTACGGTGTCTCTCATAATCATATGCTAATTTTGGGATGTTAAACCCCACATATTATGAGTTTCCTTCACCGAACCATTCATAATACTTTTTGATGAGGCACGGTAGTACTTATTAGATTGGGGATTGCGAAGGAATACATTTGGATGTATAAATAAAATCGCAAACTACACCAAGAGCATCCCTGTAGCAATGTTCTTTAACTGGGGCAGCAAAGTTCAATACAGTTCCCGTCGTCAATCTAACACCTATCTTCAAAAAGGGAATAATTAGAATCCCTTTTCTAATACCGGTGTCACACGGGTACATTTAATCGCGATCAGTGTCGATCCAGATTAACCACGATCCAGATTAGGTGCTGCTACATAGTCACTCTTCATCTCGATCAGGCGCGATCAGGATCAACTCTATTGTGACCAGCGCATCGCGATCTGCCGGAGAGATCGTGATTTTGCTGCCGTCTGCACCCTCTATCTGAGCTTGTTGAAAGCACAATAAACAAGAAAATTGAGCACAGTTCAATAAAAACGCTTTAAAACAGCTAGATGTTTATAAAAAAGCAAATTCTAAACTGTTTAAACTGAAACAATATCTAAAGTATTGCATATTTTAGGATTCCTATCGACCGTATGTAGTTACGGCAGAAGCAGACGGCAAGCATGCAGACGACAAGCAGTCGACCGTTGCCTTCAGCGCTTAGTTCAACTCTCGCTCCGTCGGAGCTATTGGAGCACCTAGGAGCAAACTGATTATGAGTGTCGCAAGCCTTTCGACTACGTCGCAACGTACGTGCACTTCGTTGTGGAATGAAGAGATCTTTACAGTAATTGACCGCTATATCAGGAGTGACTGGAACAGACTTGAGGCACCAGAAGTGAAACACTGACATATACAACGAGATTGACGCTTCGCTGCGACTACACGGCTACGAGCAGGGGCCATCAGAAAAAAAAAAGCGAAAGCTAAGAATCTCCCACAGCATTACAGGTAAGTGTTAGGAAAATTTTATCGAGCGATGAATTTATGAAATTACTATCGCATGTGGCCTGCAAAGTTTTTGACGTTCGAGCGGTTCTTGCACTAATAACATTTCTGATAAAAGGCTCCATAAATATACTGTACGTCGAGTTTTGTCAGTAGCATGTTTTACGGCATGAAAATGCCACCTGGGGCATTTCATCTGACCCATATTGTATTAAACTCTATTATCTGAACCATGCTCGAACCGGATTAGCTTGGGCCGTGTAGCAGTGGTCATAAAGTTGATCGCGATCAAGAGAACTCATCCGGATCACCCTGATCGCGATTAAAAGTGCCAGTGTGACACCGGTATAAGTATAGAGTATCGGCGACAAAGTAAAAAATAAGAATTGTTTCTATTTCTCCGCAGAATGCACAGAGAGTTGATATCACCTGACCAGCTCTGTGTAAATATAGATTCAGACGGAAGTCACGGCATCAAAATCTAGTAATGAAAACTTCGAGCTTTCTGGACTGACTCCATGAAGTTGCCATGGAAACTTGAGGAGGTTATTCATGTAGGTATTGTTTCTATAATATCAGTGAAGATTGCTCATTTGCTATGTCTTATTACGGTTGTTGAACACACTCTGAAAAACAGAGGAAGCATCAAAGCAGTGAAGAGAAAACTGGGATAGGCAAAAACCAGATGTATGCACTAAGGGACAAGGAAGGCAAAGTAATACCAATATAGATAGGATAGTAAAAATAGCGGAGGAATTTTACATAGATCTGTACAGTAGTCAGCCCAACCACGACCTTAATATATGAACTATCAGTAACCCAGATGACACCCCACCAGTAATGATAAAAGTCAGAAAACCCTTGGAGAGCATGCAAAGAGGCAAAGCTGCTGGTGAGGATCAGGTAACATAAGATCTGCTGAAAGATGGAGGACAGATTGTGTTAGAAAAACTAACGACCCTGCTTATTCCATCTGGGCCAGGAGCCACAGAGGGTAAATATCTAATCATGTTAGATATTTAGGTCTGTGTAACTTCGTCAAAGTCTGTCATTGTCGTAGACTTGTGCCAATTGTTTGACACAGCTGAGGTAAATCTGCTTTCTAGGCCTTTACTGATTGTCTCTAAAGATGTGATTATTTCTTGCGTCGATAGATTATCATAAGCTGCATTTACTAGTAACGGCAAGATTTTTCGAGCTCTCATATATTGGAACAGTGCTTTCATAAGTTTAGGCTTCGACAAGTATTCATCACATTCTTCTCTGTCACATTCTTTCACATTTTTCTCTAGTTTGAGTTACCATTCGCTTAAAGTCCGCTACAATGAATTTATAATCTGTCCAATTTTGGAGGAACTGATTGTGTAGCTGCTTCCAAGCTGCCGGATGCCATCGTTGCTCTCTTGTACATTCATCACTCCACCAAGGGCTATATGCCCTCTGCATAAAGTCAATAGTGAATTATTCTCTTTTTTAGGCTCTTTTTATAAGTGTATTTATCTTCATAACTTCCATATCATCACTCTCTTCCCAGTGAGAAGGCAATGCTGACTTCCAATAGTTCTTAAGTGTAGTATAATTTACGAAGATTTGTACATTAGAATATGGTGGAATTGTCAGACAAAAATATCCAAAGTGGTCATTGTTGGTGCCACAGTCCATCACTTTCTAAGAAGAAGTAGCAATAGCCAAAAAGGCGAAACCTAAATTTAAGGCCGACCTGTAGCCATTACAATAAAATGTGGGGGTTCTGACATTGAGGCACTTCATATTATTATCTATTGCCCCGCTCCCACAAGCGTTTTTCGCAGAGATCAGTTCTAAAACACCCAACACGTGTGATGTGAGTGTTAAAGTCTCCAACTAAAACTTTGTTCTTGCACCATGACCTTGTAGCCAGTAGCACATCCAGGATTTCTGTCTGGGGGGGGGGGGTGAAATTTTGACGAAGGTCATGAGACTGCATAGTTGAAGTGTCTTTGGAGGGGGGGGGGGGGCACATTGCATAATATGACGTTCCCGACTTCACTTGAAAAAATTTTAGAGCAAATAAAACGCCAAATAATGTCAATTATGATTATGATGATGATGATTGCTTTGGTGTTTTCCAGAGACACCTTGGAAAAGCTTGACTGGTACATCAATCAATTCATCAAAGCAGTATACGGGAAAAATAAACCGCAGAATAATAAAGCAATGCATAACATAGCTCCTCACAATGTTGTCGGCACACGCTTTTTTTTGCCGCTCCGTAAATAGATAAGGGTGTCGATGATATGCCGACCTGTTGGCGGTCGCGTAATGTTGTTAAAACTCTGCAGGTCAGGGTGTTGTAAATTATGAGAGCAGAACATGATATCTGTGTCGTTTGAGTCTCGCGAAAGTGTACCAAAAGTGAATTGTCGGATTTAACTAGCTGCATTTGTATTAACCACATAGTCTGAATAAGTACAGTTTTTACCACAGCAGTTCATATAGAACTGATATAAAATCAAAGGAATAATTTGTTGCACAGAAGCGATGTTTGTCGGGTTTAAAAAGTAGAGATACGAAGCCACGTAAATTCAAGCACACTGAGAAATTCTTTATTCAGGTCTATAAGAGGTATATAATATTTATTCTGTAATAGTATCGAAAGTTGGGTGAGTTGGTTTGAGGACATTCTTGGCAACATTTTGGGGCGCACACAATAGATGAAAAAACTAAAGGTGAGAAGACAAACAGGCAATATCTCCCAACTCAGTCTATTGAAGGAACTACTACACGAAATATATATCCAAGAATGTTTCCAAAAATATTTATTCTCTCAAGGTCGTCTTGTATGGTTAAAATCTGAAAGTTTACCTGACGTAAGGAAAAATACTTCAGAAATTCATTCTCGTAAGCTAGGATTCTTAGTTGGCCGTTCACGCGTATCATCATGGCATTGTTAGCAAAATTAAAGTCAAATCAGGTAAGAGCCTAAGTCGTCCTGTCTAACATTTCGACAGAAGGATTTGTTTCTGTCAAAGCAGCTGCGTCATCACAGGTGTGTTAGTTTGGTGCACTTGTGCTGGTTGTCTTCCAGTTGTTGTCGGCAACATAGGGAAGAGAACTCAGAGAGAAGTAAACCATATACATAATTCACAAGCAAGTTACCAGCATGAGCACAAGTAAAATGCCTTGCTTCTGATAGTAGAAAGGGGCCTATATAACAGGGTGTGGAGCAAATTTATACGCAGGGAAAGCTTGCATGTTGCACTGGTGACAGACAGTATAGCGGCGCCGATGGTCACGTCAGAGACAAGTTGTAGAGGAGTCATCCGCTCAAGCTCTTAGTTATACAGCCATGGAAGCGGTGAGTTTCGTAAGCATTTTAGGTTACTATTGACTGATGTAGTGGAAGAATTCAAGGAATGCGCAAGTTATGCCAGTTGGAAGGACGAAGAGAATGCACGAGCAAGACAGCTTCACTTACAGTACCATACTAACATTGCAAATAAGTTAATAATCAACTGGTCAAGTGACCGAAGAGCAAGATAATATAGTGTGAACTGAGCCCGGAAGGATAAATCAGTATGATTAAGCACAGATGAAATAACTAATTAAAACGGAAAAAATACACATATTAAACTACAGGCATGCACATCTTGTTGAAGACTGTGTAAAACCATTATTCAGGAGGCAGCACCCACAATTCGTGTTCTCAAGCAGGTCTTTGTAGCAGTGATGTGTTCGTGGGTGAGACATTCTACAGCTACAGCCCAGCCGTCGTGGCTTCGTTGCCGATTCGCCCAAAATCTCTTCAGGTGATAAAGGAACTTCTCGGTGAATATTTTGAAAAGCTAGACCATCTAACCTTAGCGCCCCAATCGAGCTGCGAAGATAGCTTTCAAGACATCTCAGAGTTGAGAAGGACCTCTCACTTGTAGAAGCCGCTACTGGCAGAGTAGCCATAATTTGAAGTAGTTTTTGGGTCACAGAAAATATGCCACCTGGACAGGATTCCAGGCCTTCTAGAGGACTCATTGGGCATTTTTCAAGCTGCTGAAGCTTACTGTACCAAAGGTATATCTCTCCTACAGCAGACAAAACTGAGTCCCCGACATCAGAACTGTAGCTCTTACAGAGAATGCGCATCGCATTTTCATCATCCTTACTTGGTAACAGACTTAATGAAGAAGAAAACAGAATTTCAAATTTAGTAAGAATGCTCTTGCGCTTCACAAATGTCTCATCAATTTGTTCTGTTAAAGCTTCGAAAAATGGGAGGAATACACAATGATGGAAGTACTCCTCCGGAGTCGATGAAGGCACATTTGAGCACATTCTTTGCTGACCAATGAGCCTTGGCACTTCAATAACCAAGCTTTTCACAAACTGACATAACATGTTCAAAAAGTTCACGAAATACCTCTTCAGCACGGGATCTAAGGTTACATGCAGTAAACAAAACATCATCAGCCAACCTTAGAACGGAGAAAAAATCTAAGCTGACGGTTTGCGAGTATTTGCTTAACGGCAAACTTATGGAGAAAATTTTTTCTGCAACAAAAAGTAAGACGAGAAATTCACCTATCTGCAAAGCGCTAAGAACGATTTGAGCATTGCACGAAAATTCTCGATCATTCTAGCTTTCACTAGTGTCTTGGAGACTAGACAAAACTGGCTGGAGAATGTTTACAAACACATTCAGAGCATCGTGTCTCTGAACCCATCTCGTTGGACAAAGTGACTTCAGGTGTGTCACACGAGCCTTCGGTATTAACTTTTCAATTTGGTAACCTAGAGCAGCCTCGCGTTTTGGACTCGCATGAAAAAACTCACCAACTTTCGCCACAGTACCCATGCAATTTCTAATCTGAGGCACAGAGCATGCACTCTACAGACTCAAATTAAGGCTGTGAGAGTGACATTGAACATAAATGGTGTTAGCACACTGCTGTTGGACGAGTGCTTGAACGCCGTTGTAAGCACCACTCATTGGGGCTGCACCGTCATACCCTTGAGCTCTGAGGTACTCGGTTGCAATGCATATAGTTCTCAAGCCTTTTAAAATTGTATCGACCAGGCCCCTTCTAGTTAGGTCACTAACAGGGACAAACTGCAGAAACTCTTCCCGAATTTCAATTTTTTCCACGTAGCGTGCACAAATTGAAAGCTGCTCAACGCCGGCTATATCGGCTGTCTCATCAGCTAATATTGCGAAACATTTAGCAACTTTGACTTTAGAAACTAGCTGCTTTCGCAGAATAATGCAATGGCATGCTGAGATAATCTCATTTTGGGTTCTCCAACTAGTGCAAGTTGCATTAGCGCCACATTCTTTGAAGTGACTCTTCAGAAAATCATCCCCGTTACGGGCGCACAACCTAAGCCAAGGCCTTGAAATTCCCTTCATTCTCTGCAGGCTCGCTCGACAAATCTATTCGCCCTCCATCTCTATGACTTCGAAGAGCAACTCCCTGTCTTCCGCACCAGACTACCGTTATAATAAGAGGAGTAAGGTTTTTTTCTATTCTTGGCTATTTTCTCTCTTAGCCTGTGGTCAAGATCATGGTCAATAGGGTTCTTCTTGCTATCTAAAACTGCTAGAAAATTGTCCGCGTCAAAGACGCTGTTTCTGTGAAACGACTTTTTCTCATTCTTGTTAAAAGCCTCAATCGCATTTTTCCATTTGTCAAACTTTGACATCACAAGTTTGCCTGAGGGCAGGCTTCGCACACCGACCCCAGATGGAGCGAAAAGGACACAATATTTACAAAAGGCGCCATTCTCTTTGGAATAGACGAGCCAGTTCGATCACTGCAGCCACTGGCACTGAAACATCAATTTTCTTGCTCCTGTTGCCCTGAATGGAAAGTTTGCAGCAGGCGTCCATGTGCTTGTCGACAACTTCTTTTTCTAGACATCAATCACCTACAAAAGATTCGTGTAATTAATGTACAGATGCTAACTGGAAATTCTCGCAATTACAGCATCAAGATTTGCATCTCTTATTCTGGGTTGTCATATCACAACACATTAAAAGAAACAAAGAGGCTATACAGAAAAAACTGATTTTTCACACAGCTTTTCTCATTTAAATTCCCGAGTAATAAGTACCACTATGACACATATACACATACACATTAATTCTTGAGACAGCAAATTTGCATATTGAATGATACAAAAAAATGTTATGTCGTATCTGGCTTGTTTGTGGACTGCAACCCTGCCTAGGCGTTGGCTACGAAAAATTTGTACAAAAAATACACATTTCGAAAGTGATAAGATTATTCTGCGTAAATTTGATAAGAAGGGGGAAATAACTATGGATTGGAAAATGAGACAGTTGCTCAATCATTAAAGTGACGAGGTCTCCAGCAACTTGCCTAAGCTACTGCGTTCTCTTGTACTCGCACCTTGGGGGGCAGCTAGCAGCACATGAACAGAAAAAAGTGGTCAAAGTACAAAAAAGTGAATACCATAGGTTGTTTCAACGTATAATCTTCTAGCCTTAATTATTGGAAGCCTGGAGTTTGCATGTAATCAATCACCTGTTGCAGGCAAATTTTGTATTTCTGTTACATATTGTAAGTTTTGTCAATGTGACATTTTTAGTAAACTGTCTGCTTGTTTTGCAAAGCCAACTCAATACATACAAGTTACACATGTAAAAGACTAGTATATACCACTTAAAAATTGTGCATAGCAATGATTATTATCGAGTTGTGCCATTGTGAAAATAAATTTTCAATATATAGAAACGGCTGCTGTTACAATAAAAAGAAGAACCCACAATAGTAATTAAGCGACAAACCATACGTCTCATTGAACTTAAATGCATGCATACCAGGTACTACTGGGCTTTCTACATCCTGTAAATGATTATAAACTGTATGTACAGTTCAATGCACTACAACTACAATTCTCACATCATGAGTAAACTGCAATATAATCACACCCGACTTGCCAGCGTAGATTCCCAGGTCATTTGGCTGCACAGGTTTATTGAATGAAGCATACTCTGTGAGGACTTCCTGACCGATGAACTCAATTGACGACGACATCCGATCAGTCACCGGTTCCTCTACGGCTAGGACTTGGCATTGCGGCGTTACTGCTGCCTCTTCTGAATCCGCACACGGGCGTCTTTTGGAGAAGTAAGTGAGGATCGTGTTCGACTGGCGCTTTAGCGAGGAGGCTTTGGCAAAGTAGCTCATCGTCTACGCTGATTCACACAGCAGACACAAAAATAGGTTCTAGCAAGAGAGCTAAACGTAGGCATCTGTGCACACCAAGCTTTATAGCTTCCGTCATCTAAAAAAAGAAGAGGGGAAATAAAAAAAGAGCGAGAGATGTTTATTGAAGAAGAAAAACACGGCACTCAAAATACCTTTTGCACTTGTCCGAAATCCTTTCCTTGCATCGAAAATCATTGACTCATTATGCCACGGCTTCTTGTCCCGCCCACACATGAACACAGGGCAAAAAAACACTCTGGGAGTTTGGGTAGGTGGAGTCATGTGATGCTGATGGCACACGTGCTATTATAGATGAGGTGGTTTTTGTAACTTTGAAGATACTGCACCATCGTGGTGTTGCTAGACGAAAGATGACACTCATGTCTTGAACAAGCATACTAAAAGCGAGGCTTGCTCAGAAATGCAGTAACAAATATGAATGAGCTTCAAGTAATATCGTCGTGTGCTCGTACATGCTATACAGCTTCCGTGGGGTCACTGTCGGTTCAACGAACAAGTCATGTGTGAGGTCGACTTTCTTCTTAGTGTACTAACGCACGCCACGTCCTTCCGCTGTCAATAAGGTTCAGGAAAAATGCACAATCCTTCTGCTGCAGCCATTAGCGAACAGACTGGATTCATCTGCCTGGCGCCACAGCAGCTGTACTATAACAGGCACACACAAGGAATGCCGTCGAAGCGGTTGCTCATTGTTTCTCTGGTGTTTTCAGCGGGGCAAGCTACGAAACAGGCATACTCCACTTCCGTTTCTGCAGCCGCTGCAACGTCCAGGTTGAGGTGGCTAATTTCAGACAATGAGTCCGCAGTAAGCGGCTCATATTTTTAAAGAAAACAGGAAACATGTGTGTCGTCATCTGAAAGTAACTTCGAAATTAAAAACATGTGCCTAAAAGCTCGGCGGATGGATCGGCTGCAGTGAACGCCATCGACGCCGTCTAATTTTTGGAAATTTGGGTGGGAATTGTGCAGACGTTCCGGAAACCGTATGGGTCTTTCTTCAACGTTTGAGGAAAAAAGACGCATGAAGAGGGCTTTTTTTCAGCATGCATGAGAGGGTGCTTCAGACGGTGATGGTGCATGTTGACAAGAACACAGGAGTAAGGGGTCTATATGGATGGGAATAACTTGAAGGCGGGGAGTTGTGTCGTGCGGATGTGTCGGTAAGCTGAGGGACAGAGAAAGGGGGATACTTGAAAAGACGGGTTTTGCGAGGCTGTTAACTCACGCCTGTTTTTTTTTTTTTTTTTCCTTTTTGCAGGGCACATACAGGAACGAAGGCCCAACGTATACACAAGAGGCAGGTTGCCTTGAGCGAGGTTAGCGTTGCTTGGGGCTCTTTGGATATGTCAGAATTCATTTCCAGTAATTTACTTCAATTACCAGGACAGCAGTTTCAGAAAGATTGACTCGGTGGTGCACGTCTTTGGAATGCTTGGCTAAGGGGTTGTGATTTCCTGCGATATTGAGGATGTCGTTTCCGGATTCCTTTGAGGTTCTTGGTTTCGCTTACGTAGTTGTCGCCACAGCCAGAACAAGCAATTTTTCAAGACGATATTCTCTTTTTCGGAGGCCGGTTTTTGCGAGAAGGTAGAAAGTGGGCTATTCTCTTCATAACCTGCGTGCAAATCAAATCCTCATTTTTCTGAGGCTACGAGCGATGTTCTCACTGGTGCATCGGATATTGTGGAAAGTCACATATTTCTGTGGTGGTGTTGATAGGGAAGGCCTGATGCTGGATTTATCAGCTAGCGTGGTGGTGTTTGTTGAAGTGCATTGCTTTCTGGATAAAAGATTTTGGGTAGCTGTATTTGGTAATTGTCCTGAATATTGTGCCTTTTCTTTCTTTTTTTTTTCAATTTGTGTGCTGAGGTGTTTCGGCTCCCTGCAGTAATGTTCCTACGAGTTATGTATTGTGGGTTTTTAAATGGACAGAAGTAAACTGAATATACCGACTACTGAATCTGTGTTTCCATAGTTTTATTTTCCAGTTACGAGAACATGTGAAAGAAGTAGCAGGGAGTCGTCTATTTAAAGGGGGAATGAAATTCTAGATTCTAGTTCGATGGGATTTAGGTGAGCTCAGAAATTCACGACTTAGCATCTCTTAACGATTAAACAACAGTCATTCAGAGTATGTGAAATGATTTTCAGCTCCGGCTAGACTAAGTTAAGAGCTTGATCCTCGATGTCTTCCAGAGTTATATTTGCATGACAGCAGTGATGGACACAGAATTTTATATAGCCAAAATTTTGTGTGCAAGTTTTACATTTAGCAAACTTAATGTGTGGCAATAAAACATACATACACACACACAAAAAGAAAGGAAGATTTGAACTACGTGACCTTTGAAGTTCGCAAGTGCTTAAAATTATTTCTTTCCGTTGATCGACAGTTACTTTGATTTGGTGCCAAATTGAACCATACTGTGCCTCATTCGCGTGTCAAAAGCGGCACCAATTGCTTCGACCTCTAGTCATAAGCGGTGACTTGTGGCTATAAAATTTAAGGCTCGATAGCATTTGCAGGCAGAAAAGCTCTCACAGCTCAGTTGGCCGTTCAGTGAGCACCCTCGTTTCCAGTTTGTGTTCTGGAGAGCTCATCTTTTACGCAAAAAGAACATATCTTGGCAAAGAGAGTTGTGCTTATTATTGACTATTCAAAGGAAAACAAGGATGATGGCTGACGGACACAATTCACACTCACTATAGTATCAAGGGTTTTAAACGAAGTGCCCCGGATGCCACTGGCAGAGTCGCTGGAAATGTGCATCATTGGGCGTCTTTAGTTTCCAGAGCGAATAAACACATTGAATGCACATGACAACGCTTATCACTGCTATACAATGTGGTTTATAGTATTGAATTTGAAGAAACATGCACATTTAAAGCAAACGAACATGACATGTTTATTGCACAATTATCGCTCTCGCACCTTTTATGCCATTAAATCTTGCCGGGCAACAGTTTGAAGGCATTTATTAGGTACACGAGACTTTAAACACGTCGGAAGCGTCCCAGTGAACCAGGCATTATTAATATTTGCGTATATGCAAGTAAGTGCATCAGATTTCACCCGTGGTTAAGGAAGTTGCAACAAAATGAACTCTTCTGGACATGTTTAACAGTGCGCACATAGCTCAGGCAGCTAAACAATAAATGTATGAAATATATTTTGATGTCATATGACATGTGCATCGAAGCCTGTGACTATATTTATTATTATTATTTATTATTTATTAAGTACCTGCTTTGCCATAAGGCATTACAGCAGGGAGGGTACAGTACATATGATGAAACACATGAAAAAACATTCATAAAGCATGGAAAAAATCATCACTTGAATCAATAGAGACTATTTCCGGTGGCAGAGTGTTCCATTCTCTTATAGTGCGGACAAAGAAAGAGTAGCGAAAAGCGTTACCCCCAAAAGGAATCTCGGATATTTTCAAGTGATGATCGCGTTTTTGAGAAACAAAGTTGGGTGGTTGAAAATACAATTGCCTGATGATCCCTGTTCTGGAATGATAAATGCTATGAAAGAATTTTAATGTCTTAACCCATTATTAATGTATACAACCCCAACAATAGCCTGTTCTGAATATTCCGAGATGTCTCCATGCTGTGTGGCAGTAATAAAAGGGGCAAGAAAAGAAAACAGGTGACTGCCAACTA